GACGTACATAAGCTGAAAATGAAGGCGAAAGCATGGTTAATACAAAACCATAATGTGAACACAAAGAATATTCATAACAGTCACGTGCTCCGTAAGCCATTCGGCAGACTTCCTCGAAGAGCCCTTCGGAAAAAAACACGCAAAGGCTGTAAATGGGCCAAACAGTGACTTGAAAGCTGTTACCAGCTGTGGACTAGTCGTTGCTTTCTCCCTGAGATGGGACGCATTTCGATGATGCTAGGGTCATATGTATCTGGAGATGCAGGTGCAGTGCCCGGGCATGGGGGTGAGACTGAAGTATGATCGATATTATCTCCAATGTTATTGAGCGGAGGCGTGTGCAAGTCAGATAGAGGGGGTGCATGAACACCATTGTCTTCATTGGATGAGGTACGCGTAAAATCGTTGGCATATGTGCGATCACCACAAGGATCGAGATGGCGGACGGATACAGTGCTTTCTTTCCCGTTGGGAAAACGAATATGGGCGTAATGTGGATTGCAATTTATAAGTTGGACTTCCTCAATGACGGGGTCATACTTTGAGGCACGGTCAAATCTCCTCAGTAAAACAGGTCCTGGAACAGTGAGCCAAGTTGGTATAGATAAACCACAGGATGACCGACGTTCAAACCGGAACATCCGTTCAAATGGTGTGGCATTCGTGGAGACGCAGAGAAGGGACCGTATAGAGTGGAGGGCATCTGATAGAGCCGACTCCCAATGACAGACTTGAATTTTGGATTGGATTTTTTGGGTTGCGTTCCAGAGTGTCCCGTTGTGGCGTTCGACTTGTCCATTCCCCTGGGGATTATAAGGAGTTGTTCGGCTGATGCAAACTCCCCTGTCATGTAGGAATGTTGACAGTTCGTCCGATATGAATGAGGAGCCACGATCCGAATGTACGTATGCAGGCGTGCCAAACAAAGAGAATAACTCACACACATTTAATAACTGTAGACGCACATGTATCTGCGCAGGGAAAGGCAAACGGGAAACGAGAAAACTCGTGAACGATGGTAAGGAGATACCGGTTTCGAGTAACAGAAGGTAGAGGTCCTTTAAAATCGATGCTAATTCGTTCGAATGGTTGGGCCGCTTTGATAAGCGTGGCGGGGGGTGGTTTGTAAAGCTGCGGTTTGATGGCGGCACAAGCCGTACACTTTGTGGTGATGTCCTTGACATCTTGGAGAGAAAACGGCAAGTTTTTGGAAAGAACAAAGTGGTGCATTCGAGTAATTCCAGGATGGCATAAGGAATCGTGAATTTCTTTTAATTTACCATTGCCGATCACATTGGCGCATAGGTTACGCGATAAGGTGTCAGCAATCAGATTGTCTTTTCCAGGTCTGTAGCTGACATCGTAGCTAAAAGCGGAAAGTTCCATTTTCCATCGCTGGATTTTATCATTTTTTATCTTACTTTTCTGCGACAAACCATACATAAAGGAAACTGA